AAGTCATATCATTAATAAACAACTGTAGATAGACCCTTCATGTAAATGGATGAAATAATCTAAATTTAATGCCATTTTCATAAAGATAAATTTATACAAAAAATTAATTTAGACATTTCATGCAAAAATCATGTATATAATGGTTATTTCTATTTTTTTGTTCAGCTGTTGTGAATGAAAAATTATTCATCATGAATCTCTTTTAATTTAAGCTTATTTAAGTACCGTAGGCGTAATAGAAATTTGTTGATTAACTAAGCCTACTTCTATCACATTCTAGGCCTAATGCAAAACTGTAAAAATCTACACTACAGATAAAATGTGAATCACTGTCATTCAATAAGGATGGTAATCGGTCATTAGGAGAACGTTACCGAATAGGTCTAGACATATCAACGTTTTATTATCATTTTTATACGCCCACATTTTCATGTGGACGTATATTGTTGTCGCCCCTGTCCGTCCGTCCGTCCACAATTGTTTGTAAACAGTCTACAGGTCACAATTTTTATCCGATTTCAATGAAACTTGAAATATAGGTTTATCACCCTAAGATCTCGGTTCCTTTCGATATTGGCATGTATCGGACCGTAACTTCATGTATCACTAGGGACCGGGTATCATTCAGATTTGATGAAAAAACGAAAGAAACTGAGCTTACCATCTATAATCTAATACATATATTCAGTTAATAGATTGCCATGCAGAAAGTGTTAAATACCATCAAGATTCATCAAAACCGCCCAGTTTGGGTAACCGTTTAGTTTGACATTGGTTGTCTAGTTTATGAAACTAAATGGCCATAAACTGGATGACCAATATCAAAACTAAACTAAATGGTCATAAACTAGATGACCGATGTCAAAAGTAAATGGTGTTTCTTAAACTAAACGGTAGCACAAACAGGCGTTATTTGATGGATCTTCATGGTATTTAATACTTTCTGCATGGCAATCTATTAACTGAATATGTGTATTAGATTATAGATGGTAAGCTCAGTTTCTTTCCTTTTTTCATCAAATCCGAATGATACCCGGTCCCTAGTGTATTATGGCCCCTGATTGTACGAAAAATCACGTTTTTAGCTTGTGAACACTGTATAGGTCACAATTTTTATCCGATTTGGTTGAAACTTGAAATGTATGCTTATAACCCAAAGATCTCGGTTCCTTTCGATATTCGTGCATATCGGAACGTAATTTCCTGAATTATGGCCCCTGATTGTACGAAAAATCACGTTTTTAGCTTGTGGACCCTATAGAGGTCATAATTTTTATCCGATTTAAAAAAACATATTATTAAATCACAGTTACACCCTAAGGACGACTAAGTTCGAATTTCGTGAAAAGCGGCCCAAAACTGACAGACAAAATGGCCACCCTTCGTTCTCAAATAGCATAAAAATATGATATATCAAGGTTGTGGACCCTATAGAGGTCACAATTTCTATCCGATTTTGTTGAAACTTGAAATGTAGGTTTATAACCCAAAGATCTCGGTTCCTTTCGATATACGCTCATATCAGACAGGGGGATCACGTGGCTAAGTGGGTAAGACGCTAGCTTGCTAGCCTGGAGGTCGGGTGTTCGATCCCTGCATTGGCCGAGAAAGTTCATCCAGATTTTCCGGCGTGGTTCTCCCTTGTCAGTGATGCAGGACGGAGGGGCTGACAAGGAAAGCTGTCTAGTCGTTTGGATGGGACGAAAAACCGAGGTCCCGTGTACACATTGGCGTGCACGTAAAAGATCCCTTGGCAGTTGGAATTCGATATAAGAGTAGGCCGTAGTGCCGCTGTCCGGGCAAAATTTCCCTCATAGCACACTGTATGGCGTATGCCCGTCTTCATTAGCCCAGGTTAGGAGCAGAACAGTAGGACGTTAAACTCCATTTCATTTCATTTCATATCAGACCGTAACTTCCTGAATTATGGCCCCTAATTGTTCGAAAAATCGCGTTTTTAGCTTGTGGACCCTATAGAGGTCATAATTTTATCCGATTTAAAAAAACATATTATTATATCACCGTTACACCCTAAGGTCGACTAATTTTGAATTTCGTGAAAATTGGCCCAAAACTGACAGACAAAATGGCCATCTTCGTTCTCAAATAGCGTAAAAATATGATATATCAAGGTTGTGGACCCTATAGAGGTCACAATTTCTCTCCGATTTTGTTGAAACTTGAAATGTAGGTTTATAACCCAAAGATCTCGGTTCCTTTCGATATTCGCTCATATCAGACAGTAACTTCCTGAATTATGGCCCCAGATTGTTCGAAAAATCGCGTTTTTAGCTTGTGGACCCTATAGAGGTCATAATTTTTATCCGATTTAAAAAAACATATTATTATATCACCGTTACACCCTAAGGACGACTAAGTTTGAATTTCGTGAAAATTGGCCCAAAACTGACAGACAAAATGGCCATCTTCGTTCTCAAATAGCGTAAAAATATGGTATATCAAGGTTGTGGGCCCTATAGAGGTCACAATTTCTATTCCATTATGTTGAAATTGAAACGTAAGTTTATAACCCAAAGATCTTGGTTCCTTTCGATATTCGTGCATATCAGACTGTAACTTCCTGAATTATGGCCGCTGATATTTCGAAAAATCGCGTTTTTAGCTTGTGGACCCTATAGAGGTCAGAATTTTTATCCGATTTAAAAAAACGTATTATTATATCACTGTTACACCCTAAGGACGGCTGAGTTCGAATTTCGTGAAAATCAGCCCAAAATTGACAGACAAAATGGCCATCTTCGTTCTCATATAGCGTAAAAATATGGTATATCAAGGTTGTGGACCCTATAGAGGTCACAATTTTTATCCGATTTTGTTGAAACTTGAAATGTAAGTTTATAACCCAAAGATCTTGGTTCCTTTCGATATTTGTGCTTATTGAATTGTAATTTCCTGAATTATGGCCCTTGATTGTAGGAAAATCACTTTCGTTTTAGCTGGGCGTATTCTGCCTGGCAGCCGCTGGTTCAAGGAGAAACAGTAAGATTTTTAACTGTCAAAATGTCAAACAGGAATTAAACAAATGAGATAAAGTCGTCTGTTCATTAGGGAAATAACTCTCATTACGCTAGGAACGTTGCATTCGGCTAACCAGTTTTGTTGACAAAAGTCGCCATGGGTACTTAACGGTAACGTTATAGGTGTCGACAAAAGTCGCCGTGGTCAGTTAAGAGTTAAGGGCATGAGACGAAGAAGCGATTTTCGATAATTACTACCAGAGTTATGGCCCTTGATCACTTTGAAAAATCTTGTGGACACTCTAGAGGCTCAAGTTAATATCTGATTGACTTTTAATTGATACACAGTGTTTAAGGTCATGAGACGAAGAATCCTATTGATTTTCAGTGATTTTCAATTATTTTTCCCCGAGTTATTGCCCTTGATCACTTAAAAAATTTATACACAGTGTTTAAGGTCATGAGACGAAGAATCCTATTGATTTTCAGCGATTTCTGATAATTACTGCCAGAGTTATGGCCCTTGATCACCTCAAAAAAATCTTGTGGATGCTCTAGAGGTCAAAGTTAATTTCCAATTAACTTTAAATCTATACACAGTGTTTAAGGTCATGAGACGAAGAAGCCTATTGATTTTCAGCGATTTCCGATAATTACTGCCAGAGTTATGGCCCTTGATCACTTTGAAAAATCTTGTGGACGCGCTAGAGGTCAAAGTTAATATCCGACGCCCTAGAGGCTAAAGTTATCATCCGATTGACTTCAGATTGATAATTACTTCATGAGTTGTTACTCTTAATCAGATTTTAGTTTATTATAAATGTTTCATTACCAAAAAAAAAAAAAAAATATGCGACAACACTTGTTGACTGCCCGGACGATTTAGCTGCTGTGGGCGTATGTTTCGTTGCCTGGCAACCTATCTTTGTGTTATTTTGTGTTCTCTGCATTATATTGGATTAATGGATAATCCTTTAATTGGCTTAGAGAGAGACAGTGGTAGTAGTAGATAATGAATTAAAGTCTAGGGGTCAATGGGGTGTTCCCACTTAGCCGGCAGACTTTGATGTCAAATTTTGCCGCTAATCCAGAGTTGATCCTAGAACAATGGTGTTATAAACTATAGTCCATATCTTTTTTAAGACTAAAACTGTATTGATTTTAACAAATTTAACTTTTATTAAATAACATTAAATAGCTTACACATACAAAAATATATTGATTTTAACAAATTTAATATTTATTAAATAACATTAAATGATTTACACATATAAAAATGCATTACAATTTACACATTTAACTTTTATTAAATAGCATTATATAATTTATTTCCAATGGACGGCATTTGGTCTGCTTGACTTTATACTGAACTTGTAACCATTGTGTATTAAATATCGGCCACCTCGATTATTGGAGATAAAGCGAATATTAACCTTAACGTTTGCCATTTTAAAATAAATATAATTTCGACACAGATTGACCATCTATTTATATTAATATAGTGAATTGAATTCATGTTTGAAATCATAACGCTGGCATGAACTGTGTTCAAAATGTCATTAATTAGTTGGTTAATAAATTTTATTAAGAGGGATTAAGAGCTCATTAACGCTGAACACTAGTGAACAGTTCTTGAGTGACTACTTTTAAACAGACTATAGTTTTAAGATCAATCAAAGGATTAACAGTATGCCGGCTAAGTGGGAACACACCGGGTCAATTGAGTATTAAGTAATAAACATTCTAGTCTAATGGATAATACTTATTCTTCATAAAAGATGGTTAAGCACACACTCTGTTTATTAATGACATACGAGTATTTACATGAAAAATAACTTGGCATGTTGGTTCAAAATATCAGAATGAATGACATGTATATGTAGATTGTTTAAATACTCACTTTGTGATGTAATACAAACAATAAATGAATACAGGATCCATTTGAAATCCTTCAATATTCTAAAAATTGAAATTAAAGTTTTATTATAAATCAGATTTAATGCATGTTTTTATTTATTTCAGTTAATCAAACCCAATGAATTAGTCAATCCAAAAGTTGATGAGATGAGTATGATGACATATTTATCTCAATTCCCCAATGCTAAGCTTAAACAAGGAGCTCCCCTCCGACCTAAACTCAATGCAGCTCGAGTTCGTGCTTACGGTCCTGGTTTGGAGCCAAAGGGAAACCAAGTTGGTGCCCCTGCCCGCTTTACCATTGAAACTTTTAGTGCTGGTAAAGGAGCTGTTGAAGTTATGGTACTTAATCCTAAAGGACAGAAAGAACCAGTAAGTAGCACCATTTGTATTAGAACCTGATATCATAGGAAGGTCGTTAATTAAGTGTGCTGTTGAAGTCAACATCAACGAAGATAGATATGCCAGATTTTAAAAACAAAATTATTTGAAATGCATTTGGTACAAATGATAATAATAATTAGAAAAATAAAAATACTAGTGTGTTCTGATTCAAAGTTTTCCTACTTTGGTGGGAAAAGAAATGACTTTTATTCTTGTTTCATTTGTAATATATATAGTAATATCTTTATTTTATTTTATTGAATTAGTGTGAGTGTGTATTCAACAATGATAGAAATTTAACATATTCATGTGTCTACACACCTAGTATGGAGGGTGAATATAGAGTCATTATTAAATTTGCCGTCAAAGAAATTGCCAAGAGTCCTTTCATTGTGAAAGTTGAGGGTGCTGCTGGAGATGCCACTAAGGTGACTGCCTCTGGTCCTGGTATACAGAAAACTGGTGTTATTGCTACAAAGAGAACTTATTTTGAAGTTCATACTAAAGGTATAATGATAATTTCTTGCTTTTTCAAAATCTTTACAGCAGGGTTGTAATTAAAGATAAATTCATATTTATTGTCAAAGCACTGTTAAGGATGGAGATATACCGGTATGATTTGTTTTACAATAATTAACCAATTGGCACCAATACATTAAGTAGTCCATTTATTGTGCCATTGCTTAAAAACATTCATTGTTTGGAAATAGTTCATATTTTTGCTTTAAATACAGTGTCAAACCAAATGTGTAAATGTAGCAATCATCTGTTATTAATGACAAGGTAGGTTGATACATATAGAAAATGGTTTCAAACTGATCTTACGTACAGTAATATATTACCATATACTTGATTACAATATAATTACATTACAATAATATATTACCAAATACTTGAATACAATATATCGATAACCTTTCCTGAGAATATTAAATGAAGACAGATATTCTGCTGTTTTATATTTGATTTCTTCTGTTAAGGTTTTACAACTCATCTGCATTTGAGTGGCATGCTGTTTGGAAGGTTTTGAAAAGAATAGACAATAAATGTTATGAGAGTAACTAATTTTCTCTGATGTTGGTCATAGAATGTGGCAAACTTTTCATGTATGATAATTGTGAACACTTTTCCTCCAAGTACAGATTATAGTTTATAGTAGTAAAATAGTTCCAATTTCACATCATGTATATCATTTTATTTTAAACAACCCACATTTTATCTTGATGATCTTAAGTTTCGTTCTTGATTCCTTCCTAGTTGATTCACAGTCTCGCCTTAATTTCAGCATCTGGCGCTAAAGCTGTGCCAATTGCTAAAGCTGGATCTGCTGCCAAATCTAGTTCTAGGGCTGGACCTGGTGCTAAGACTGGGCCAGGTGCCAATGGTGGTGAGTCAGAAGAGTGGTATAATTATAGCAAACCACTTTTAACATTACAGTTTGATTTCTCCTCCTTTTGTCAGCGTTCTTTATTCGTTAATTTCTCTCAATTTTGTTCACACTGTTACCTAAATGAAGCCCCTTCTGTCTTTTTTTTCTTTCAAATGTGTATTCATGTATAAGAAATATTTCTATTTGTGGACTAATTGAATCATTCAAGTAACACCATTAAAAGTAATGTATTTTTATGCGCCCACATTTTCATGTGGCCATATATTGTTGTCGCCCCTTTCCATCCGTCTGTCTGTCCGTCCACAATTTGTTTGTGGACACTCAACAGGTCACAATTTTTATACGATTTTGACGAAACTTGAAATATAGGTCATCTCCCAAAGATCATGGTTCATTTCGATATTGGCATTTATCGGACCATAACTTCATGGATTATGGCCCCTGCTTGTATGAAAAATCACGTTTTTAGCTTGTGGACACTTTAGAGGTCACAATTTTCATCTGATTTTGATAAAACTTGAAATGCATGTTTATTACCCAAAGATCTTTGTTCCTTTTGATATTTGTGCATATCGGACTGTAACTTCCTAGATTATGGCCCCTGATCGTACGAAAAATCTGATTTTGATATAACTTAAAATATATCTTTATATCCCAAAGATCTCAGTCCCTGTCGATATTTGCGCATTTCACAGCATAACTTTCTGGATTATGGCCCCTGATTTTACGAAAAATCGCTTTTGTTTTTAGCTTGTTCTCTGTCCATCTTTTGCAAAATGTGGGCATCTTGACTGGCAGCTGCTGGTTATTTCGATGTCAGGCATGGTTTTATGTTGTTTTTTAATAGAATGTGTGTGCTGATGTGTTAAATGGTTATTATTTTTGATAACTTATAATCCTGTAGAAAGAAAAAAAAGCTGCTATACTTGAATTCGCTATTTTGTAATTCCTGATGTAAACTTAAACTTAAAACTAATTGAGAGATCTAATTCAGTTGTTTTTTTCCTTTATTCAAGTATGGTGTAGCTTTATTTATATTAACCATAATTTTCTTACAGCATAAAACATGTACTTAAAAGCTAAGGAAGGGGGTGAATTATGTATATTTTTGTATCTTAGTTAAAAATAAAATATCATCTTTTACTCTTTCTTTAGCTGCCATATTTGGTGAATATAACGGTATTACATATTTTTACAACATTATTTTTTTTTTCTATCTCTTGTCAATATTTAAGTTTATCTTGCTTTCTGTTTGTTTGGGGAGTATATGGTGATTTAAAACTAGTAATCAAAATAGGGATGGAAATGACTATTTTCTAAAAAAAAACAACAAAAAAAACATTATGTGTGTTATGTCTTAGAAAGAAATTTGTTATCGCTCTTACGTTTACAGGAGGATTATAATATATAAAATACTAATTTGAATTCTTATTATATGCCCACATTGAAATGTGGTCGTATATTGTCGTCGCGTCCGGCCGGCCGGCGTCCACAATTGCTTGTGGACGCTCTAGAGGATAAAGTTAATATCCGATTGACTTCAAATTTATACAGTGTTTAAGCTAAGAGACGAGGAAAGCCTATAGATTTTCAGAATTATGGTCCTTAATCACTTTGAAATATCTTGTGGACGCTCTAGGGGCTAAAGTTCTCCGATTGACTTTTGACTTATACACAGTATTTAAGGTAATGAGACAAAGGATCCTATTGATTTTCAACGATATCCGATAATTACTGCCAGAGTTATGTCCCTTGGATCACTTTGAAATATCTTGTGGACGCTCTGGAGGCTAAAGTTAATATCTGATTGACTTTAAATTTATACGAAGAATCCTATAGATTTTCAACGATTTCTGAGTTACGGCCCTTGATCACTTTGAAAAATCTTGTGGACGCTCTAGAGGCTAAAGTTAATATCCGATTAACTTTAAATTTATACACAGTGTTTAAGGTCGTGAGACGAAGAAGCCCAGTGATTTTCAATGATTTCCGATAATTTGATTTTCAATGATTTCCGATAATTACTACCAGAGTTATGGCCCTTGATCACTTTAAAAAATCTTGTGGATGCTTTACAGACCAAAGTTATCATCTGATTGACTTTAGATTGATAAACAGAGTTTAAGGTCTTGAGACGAACAAGTATATTGATTTTCAATGAATTTTGATAACTTGAACAGCCAAATCCATGATAATTAAATGTTTCGTATACTAAATGTTAGCATGGGGCAGAACTAAAAGCCAAACAATTTCTACTGATTTTCAGATAATTACTTGATGAGTTGTTACACTTAATTAGAATTTAGTGCATTATAAATGTTTCATTACCGACAATAGAAAAAATATGTTGACTGCTCGAACAACTTAACTGCTGTGGGCGTATGTTTTGTTGCCTGGCAACCTATCTTTTTATACGCCCACATTTTCATGTGGATGTATATTGTCGTTGCCACTGTCTGTTTGTCCGTCCACAATTGGGCCATAACTTCATGGATTATGGCCCCTGATTGTACGAAAAATCACTCTAGAGGTCACAATTTTGATCCTATTTTGATCAAACTTGAAATGCATGTTTATAACCCAAAGATCTTGTAGCCCGTTCAGACGCTTAAGTTGAACTGGTTTAAAAAAAAACGGGGATCGTTAAACCAGTTTAACTTAAGCGTCTGAACGCAAATGTGGGACAAATAAACTAGTCTAAAAACCCCAGCTTGTGACCTGTCTTCGAGAAGGCTTTTTACTTTAAACTGGATCATCTTAACCGTCTGTGAACGGATTGGTTTAAAAACCCCGGCTCCAGCTTGCTTTGAGCATGCGCAGTAAGTTACATTCCTGTGAAAATATCGGGGTCAGAGAGTGCCAATGTTATCGAAAGCGTGTGTGAACCGAATAAAGAATATGAAGCTACCCATGCGTAGTTAACTCTAACCTCCGACCGAAGAGGTCAGAATAGTTAAACTTGTTTGGCTTATAGTACGTGTGAACGCAAGACGATGCTGTCTTAAAAACCCCAGCAATTATGAACTGGTTCCTTTTGATATTCACGCATATCGGATCGTAACTTTTTGAATTATGGCCCCTGATTGTACGAAAAGTCGCATTTATAGCTTTTCGTCCCTCTAGAGATCACAATTATTATCTGATTTAAAAAATGTTCGAATATATCACCATTACACTGTATTGAGTTCGAATTTTATGAAAATCAGACCAAAACTGCCAGACAAAATGGTGGACAAGGTCGTGAACCCTCTAAAGTCAAAATTTTGATCTGATTTTGATGAATCTTGAAATGTATCTTTATAACCCACAGGTCTTGGTTCCTGTCCATATTATTCGCGCATATCGAATCGTAACTTCGCTGAATTATGGCCCTTAATTGTTCGAAAAATCGCTTTTTGTTTAGCTTGTTTTTTATCCATCTCTTGCAAAATGTGGGCGTATCCTGCCTTGCAGCTGCTGGTTTAATCTTACTAACAAACCAGAATTTTACAATTTTACTTCATTAACATTTGAATTTTACAAAGCCTTTATTTATTTTATTGCTATTTAATCCATATAAATGCAAATCGCATTAAGAAGATTTATAATTTGGAATTAAAGATAAGTTATACATGAAATCATTTGTTAAAAATCTTAATAAATTTGAGTTTTTAATTTTACAATGTAACATATCTGGTATTGTAATGAATTCTATTGTCCTAAAAGGCTTTGTAAAGATACATGTTTTTAATACTTTCACCATTCCTCTATTCCTCATGTAAAACTAACTTTTTTTCTCTAATACATTTAAGTCTCTCATATCATAATAATTATTATATAATTTAAACCATAGTAAAATAAATGTCATATGTGTATACTAGATAGATAGATTATTTATGTTGGAATGCCATTTATTTATCTAGTATTGGAATTTATTATTTGTCAGAACTTAGTATCTTAAGGATTTCATCCTAGTTTAGAGATCATTATTGTCAATGAACAATTTCCACAGATTTTATTGTTTTCCATTTAGAACATTAGTTTTGATAGTTTTAAGAATCCGTATTTGTTTTTTTTTTTACTAGACTAGTGATTATAGATTTCAATGTGGTAGTTTTCTAGAGTAGTAAATTTAATTATTCCATTACTAAAAATACATAATAAATTACATGTAATATTTAATATGTACCTTTAACCATGTCATTTGTCATTGACAAATCAAATACATATACTGGTAAATGGTTTTAACAGATAAATATGATTTTTATTGTATTGTTAATGTGAACAAGCATGCATAATTTCAAAAGTTAATAAATTCAAACATATTTATCAGTTAAATGATTTACCTGTATTATAGTAAATTTCTATATTATAAATATTTTATTTGATTTGTTTTTTTCTATTTCTGTTTACAGCTGCTGGCAAAGGTCAGATAGATGTAGCTATACTTGACCCTCATGGTCATCGTGATAAGATCCGCCCCAGCATTAAACCAGTTGAAGGAAAAGAGGGCACTTTCTTAGTGGAGTATATCCCTCATGAACCTGGTCTTCACTCAGTTAATGTTTTCTTTGCTGGTATACAAATTCCAAACAGTCCATTTGGTGTGCAAGTTGCCCCAGGTATGTTTCTGTGTGTATTTGTAGCCAAGAAGTACATGTACCGATAGCTAGATTTACTTTATATAATAGTGAGATTAGAACATAAAATCTGTTTAGAAATATAGTTTATCAATAGTAAAAGAACTTGTTTATTCACCTTTACACAGGTTTCACAGAATGGATTTAAATATTTTGTATGCTTTTATTTAGCAAAGATGCAAGTTCATGTCTTAATGTTGAATAGTTTAAGTGTAGTACATTAATTTTTTTTTGTTAATTTTTTGTTTTCAGTTGGTCCAAGTAGGTATCTCAGAGTGTTTTTACCCAATCCATGTAGAAATTAGAAAATGCATCCGTTTTTAAAATGCTTCACATTTATTGTGGGTGCATATTGTTGTCATTCTTGTGCGTCGTCCATCCTTTCGAAGAAGGCAGAGGACTATTAAAATGGTCTCATCTGTCTGTCCGTCTATCCGTCTGTCCCTCACACTTTTTGGGACACAATAACTCTCCTTCTAATTGAGCTAGAATGTTCAAACTTGGTGTAGGTGTTTATTAGGTCAATGCCTTGATGGAGTTCGACGATGAACATTTTCTGCTTAGGGTAAGCAGAGATAAGCAATTTGATTGGTTGATGCTTTGGGAAACGATAATTTTAGTTCTAATTAACTTTAAGTGAGAGTGATGAAAATTGGTGTATAGTTTCATTACATTAATACCTTGACTAAGTTCGATAGTAAGCATTTTCTGCTCAGGGTAAGCAGAGCGATAAGCAATTTGATTGGCCGAGACTTTGGAACACAATAACTCTCCTTCTAATTGAGGTAGAATGTTTAAACTTGGTGTAGGTGAATGCCTTGATGGTGTTCGGTGATAAACATTGTCTGCTTACGATAAGCAGAGATAAGCAATCTGATTGGTTGATGCTTTGGGGCACGATAACTTTGGTTTTAATTAAGTGAGAGTGATGGAACTCTGAGTATAGATTCATTATATCATTACCATGACAAAGTTCAATGATGAGGATTTTCTTCTTAGACTAAAGAGCGATAAGCAATTTGATTGGTCAAGACTTTGGAACATAACAACTCTGCTTTTAATTGAGGTAGAATGTTTAAACTTGATGTAGATGTTCATCAGAGGACGGCAACTGTTGGCTTGTTCTTATGAATGGTGTGCAGAGCCAAGTTCTTGACAGATTTAATTCACATTTGCAGGGATTTTTCATTGGGTCGGAAGAAATAACCCCTTTGAACTTATGAATCCATGTGAACACAATAACTATGTTAATGCCTCAGTTCATAGGGTACATGGAAGATATAGGACAATTTCATTGCAATTTTTATACGCCCTCATTGAAATATGGTTATATATTGTCGTTGCCCCCGTCCGTCTGTCGGGCCATCCGGTGTTCACAACTGCTTGTGGATGCTCTAGAGGCTAAAATTAATATTCGATTAACTTTAAATTTATAAACAGTGTTTAAGGTCATAAGACGAAGGAGCCTATTTTCAATGATTTTCCGCTAATTATGGCCCTTGATGACTTTGAAAAATCTTGTGGACGCTCTAGAGGCTAAAGTTAAAGTAGGCAAGTCTCTAACTCAATACCATCCAAAGTCTTCGACATTGAAAACACGAATTATTTGTCAATTTAAATCAACATTGATGTGATCTTACAAGGAAAAGGTGGGGTTCTGATATCCAATATTTAAGACAAAATAAATATTTTATCATGGGTACACGAATCGTGTACCATAATGCATTTCAACGCCATTTGTAACAAGGGACTCGAAGAACGAGGCTAGACATATTCTACAAGTCATGTCAAACGGTGATGCCATGTTCTTCTCTGGAGAGCATGGGCAATAAATACTATCGGTGTAGACTGGAATAACAAGCTGCTAGAGATTGCCATTCGATTGAGACTTATGGTGTATTTCACCAAACATAACTAATTTGAAATTATAGTAAAAACAGAAACGATTGCGTGTAAATCATTTTATGTACATTCACACAACATTATTATATGCGTTTCAACCCAATTGTGTCAATTTCTGGGTCCCAAATATTAGCGATTTAGCTCCTTTAATATCCCATTGACTTTAAATTTATGCACAGTGTTTAACTCATTTTTGACGAGTGCGAATCAGTTCAATCAATCAACTGATTTCTATTGTTTTTATTTCTTAAATTAATGGTGATTAAGTAATAAAAATAAAACACCCAATGAAAAGGAATGTTATATTCAGTAATTATGGAATAAAAAACATACATTTCAACAAAGGATATTCCGGTATTTACGTAATAGGTCAGAGGTGAAAATTCACACCGTGTCAATTACTTTGGCATTATTCCAATACTTTCATGTTGTCACTTACGGCTGATAATTTTATGATATGGAGAGTGAAGTGGAATCAGATTTTTTATGATTTACTGCCAGACATATCGTGCAATATGATAATGTCGAAGGAATCAACTACCCGGTATTTATATATTTTTTTTTTTTGATGTTATGATGCAAAGAATACGTATACTCCAGCCGAGATCAAGCATGTTGGCCGCCATCTTGGACACGCTTCCCGACAGACGATACCACAAAACGTGCGGATAATATTTCAAGACTTTGGAAAGCTAAATTGAGTCAAAACTTTTAGGATTTAATACAAGCTACATAGAGGAATATTACATTGTCAAAGATTTCAACTATATATTTTTATTTTCGACGCATTGAAAAGAAGATGACAATTCCCACCACATACTGCAAAAGCGATGGATCTACTACATACCTCGAGTATACATCACTGCGCTAAATGATGTCCGTTTAAAAGGCTTGCATGATCATTTTGGGGCGGGACTTATCGACTTCTACTGTCAATGGCGTATATATACTGCTATTTATTCCTGAAGCACGTGGTTTATATAAACAAATATGTCAAGTTAGCAAAATGTCGACTTCTGCTACTCCGGTAAAAGCGATATATAATTAATATGTGGCAATAGGTGATATTGCAATATAGTCTTTATCATTGTAAACTGCCTTTAGACTTGCAATCTGTTTATCTTTCAAAACAAGGTTAGATACTCCTAAATTTGTCTTCGCAAATAAAGCCGCTTCTGCCATATTGAATAATTAGTGGACTATTTCGTGCTTTGCCTCTAATGTGTTTGACATCTTTCATACACACAACGGCTAAAAAAAAATATTAAATTTCATTCAATATGAAAATGGAAGAGAAATAAATACTTTCTAAACGCATATTCAGTGTTTTCGACTAAAATCGTTGATGTAGGAATTAAAATGTTGGTTAATTAGGTTAGGGCCTGTTCTCAGGCACTGCCACTGCTAACTGTAGTCAGGCACTCTAAGTTTGGGATGTTCCCACCATATATCCAAAGACACAAATGCCGATAGCGATGAAGTGACGGTCATTTGGGGCAATATTTTTTTTTAAAAGTTATATTTATATTTACTTTATACACAGGTGCCAACGGGACTATATTTGCGTTCTATTTTAAAAAGGGGGGTTGGATGGCTGAATGGTTAGCACATGCGCGCTGTATCACAAGGTCTGTCATTGAGTCAACTGACGTGGTTTCAAATCCCCAGTTGTACGTGACAAGGTGTAGGGTCGCCAGTCCAACCGCGCGGTTTTTCTCTGGCTCCTCCGGTTTCCTCCCACTGCTAAAGACCCCTATGCACCAGCGAATTATTGAAATAAAATTGAACCATGTGTTAGCCCTGAATTGACCTAGTTTGTGTTGAGTAGAAGTTAAACCCCATTTCTCTCTCTCTCTCTCTACTTGTTATTTACCATTATGACGGAGAAAAGTCATAATTTTAGTGGAACTGACTTTTCAATATTATTTATAGTAATATAATTGCCACTTTAAACAATTGAATTTTTATACGCCCACATGGAAATGTGGTCGTATATTGCCGTCGCCCCCGTTCGTTTGTCCATCGTCCACAATTTCTTATGAACACTCTACAGACTACATTTATCATCTGATTGTTTTGAAATTGATATATGTTGTTTGCTTTGGTGAGATGAAGAAGCCTATTTAATTTCAATAACTTCGGTTAATTTCTTCTGGAGTTATGGCCCTTGTTTCACTTTGTTGTACCCTGTGAATGCTCTAACGACAAAAGTTATCAACCGATCTATATGAAATTTATATGCATCATTTAAATTAGTAAAACAAAGAAGCCTGTTGAATTTCAACAATTTCCGTTTAATTACATCTAAACTTATGGCCCTTGTTTCACTTTGTTGAATCTTGTGAACGCTCTAAGTTATCCACCGATCTGTATGAAATTGATATGCATCATTTAAATTAGTGAAATGAAGAAGCCTGTTGAATTTCAGCAATTTCCATTAATTTCTTCTGGAGTTATGGCCCTTGTTTCACTTTGTTGCACCTTGTGAACGCTCTAACGACAAAAGTTATCAACCGATCTGCATGAAATTTATATGCATCATTTAAATTAGTAAAACAAAGAAGCCTATTGAATTTCAGCAATTTCCATTAATTACATCTAAATAAATAAAAAATTTACGATTGGTACACGAATCGTGTACCATGATGCATTTCAGCGCAATTTGTAACAAGCGACTCGGAAGAACGAGGTTAGACATATTCCACAAGTCACGTCAAACGGTGACCCCATATTCTTATCTGGAGAGCATGTGCAATAAATACTATCAGTGTAGACTGGAATAACCAGGCGCTAGAGATTGCCATTCGATTGAGACTTCTGGCGTATTTCGCCAAACATAACTGCTTTGAAATTAGCGTAAAAACATATTATATGCATTGCAACCCATTTGTGTCAATTTGTAGGTCCCAAATATTAGCTATTTAGCTCATTTAAATTCCCCTAATTACCTACAAAAGAATAAATATGTGACAACCCTTGTCGACTGCTCGGACGATTTAGGTGCTGTGGGCGTATGTTTTGTTGCCTGGCAACCTATCTTTTATCTTTGGAAAGAACACCACAATCTGTACATTTTTTTTAACAGAGTATTTCTTTGTATAGAAAATATTTTTTTTAGTTATTTGCAATTTTGTAGAGGGTATTAGGAGTAACAATATTCCACTAATTGGCTTAGGGAGATGGGCCCTGCTGATTTAATGAGCTTAGGGGTAGGTAGCTAATCTTTTAATTGGCTCTAGGGTTAAATGGGTTGAGACGAAGAAGCCTATTGATTTTCAATGATATTTGATAATTACTGCCAGAGTTATGGTCCTTGATCACTTTGAAATATCTTGTGGACGTTCTAGAGGCTAAAGTTATTATCCGATTGACTTTAGACTTATACACAGTGTGTAAGGTCTTGAGACGAAGAAGCCCAGTTATTTTCAATGATTTCCAATAATTACCAGAGTTATGGCCCTTGATCACTTTGAAAAATCTTGTGGACGCTCTAAAGTCTAAAGGTCGTGAGACGAAGAAGCCCAGTGATTTTCAATGATTTCTGAAATTACTACCAGAGTTATGGCCCTTGATCACTTTGAAAAATCTTGTGGAAGCTCTAGAGGCTAAAGTTAAAATCTGATTGACTTGAAATTTATACACAGTGTTTAAGGTCTTTGATTACTGCCAGGGTTATGGCCCTTGATCACTTTGAAAAATCTTGTGGATGCTCTAGAGACCAAAGTTATCATCTGATTGACTTTAGATTGATACACAGTAACACAGAGTTTAGATGAAATGAAATGAAATGAAATGGGGTTTAACGTCCTACTGTTCTGCATCTTGTGATGAACATGTATATTAATTTTCAATGAATTTTGAGAACTTAAACATCTAAATCCATGATATTAAATGTTTGGTATACTAAACGTTAGCATGGGGCAGATCTAAAAGCCAAACAAATTCTAATGATTCGCTGATAATTACTTAATGAGTTGTTAGTGTATTATAAATGTTTCATTACCGACAGTTCAAAAAATATGCGACAACTCTTGTTGACTGCTCGAACGACTTAGCTGCTGTGGGCATATGTTTCGTTGCCAGGCAACCTATCTTTTAAAATACTTTGGTATTGTTGAGTGAAGCTAAAACTGGAAGCTTGTCGGAATTTAGAAAGTTGCATTCATATTTAATGTTCAAAGTTACAAAAGCTTGTGAACTCAATACAGATTGAGTTCTGAATGAAAAAGTTATGATTCAAAGATTGTTCTTCAGGGCATAAGGAAAACCCTATCTAATTCCAGAGTGTATCTTTCATGGAGATTATTGCCCGGTAACAGCTTTTTAGAAGATTATTTTCAATTCTGATATTAACTTTTAAAGCTTACTGTGTAATATTTAAAACTTGCTCAGCAGGATTTATTGTCACAGATTTTAGAGCAAACATGAACAACTTTGCTGTTGGTGGGCCTGAAAAGCTCCCTTCTGTTTTTAACTACCAATATTAACATTGTAAATGTTATAATTGTGACTTACCAACTTGTCTTTAAACAAACAATAAGACTATTTTGACAAATAAAACTATTGTTATGCTTATCTGCAATAATCCTTTTATTTCCCAAAACTCTGCTTGATATTTTTTAGTAAAAAAAACATACGTTGGTTAAGAAAATGTGAAAAACGATTTTCAGATTAAATCTTGATTTGTCATTCCCCTTGTTTTGGTTTTTTTTTCCATGTTGTAGTTATGCTATATTTAAGTGTCTATAATTCCTGAATTTTTTGTAACACAAAGATTTATTTTCAGTGTCTATTTCTGTCAAGTTTTCAATATTTTATTTGTTGGTACGTTTTGCTGATTTATAAAGTATTTTTATATACGCCCACATTTTCATGTGGACGTATATTGTCGTCACCCCCGTCTGTCCGTCTGTCCACAATTGTTTGTGAAAGTCTACAGGTCACAATTTTTATCTGATTTCAATGAAACTTGAAATATAGGTTTATCACCCTAAGATCTCGGTTCCTTTCGATATTTGCATGTATCGGACTGTAACTTCATGGATTATGGCCCCTGATTGTATGAAAAATCACGTTTTTAGCTTGTGAACACTGTAGAGACCACAATTTTTATCCAATTTGATTCAAACTTGAAAAGTATGCTTATAACCCAAAGATCTCGGTTCCTTTCGATATTCGCACATATCGGAACGTAACTTTCTGAATTATGGCCCCTGATTGTACGAAAAATCGCGTTTTTAGCTTGTGGACCCTATAGAGGTCATAATTTTTATCCGATTTCAAAAACCGTTCTATTATATCACCGTTACACCCTAAGGACGACTGACCTTGAATTTCGTGAAAATCGGCCCAAAACTGACAGACAAAATGGCCGCCCTACGTTCTCAAATAGCATAAAAATATGGTATATCAAGGTTGTGGACCCTATAGAGGTCACAATTTTTATGCGATTTTGTTGAAACTTGAAATCTAAGTTTATAACCCAAAGATCTCGGTTCCTTTCGATATTATGGCCCCTGATTGTATGAAATATCGTGTTTTTAGCTTGTGGGCCTTATAGAGGTCATCATTTTTATCCGATTTAGGAAAAATCACTTCCTTTTTAGCTTGTTCTCTATCCATCTCTCGAAAATGTAGGCGTATCCTGCCTGGCAGCCGCTGGTTCTTTTTTCCCCACTGCACCCACTTTGAAAAATGCATGTAGACGCCCTTCGCAATTTTCATTTGATTTTAATGAAACTTGAAATACATGTTTATAACCCAAAGATCTTGGTTCCTTTTGATATTTGTGCATTCGAATTTCGTGAAAATCAAACCAAAACTGCCCGACAAAATGGCAGCTCCTTGCACGCAAATTGTGTACAAGTATGTAATACGAAGGTTGTGAACACTCTAGAGGTTACCATTTTTGTCCGATTTTGATGAAACTTAAAATATATGTTTATAGCCCAAAGATCTTGGTTCCTTTTGATATTTGCGCATACCGGATCGGAACTTCCTGAATTATGGCCCCTGATTGTACGAAAAATTGCGTTGGCTTGTGGTCCCTCTAGAGGTCACAATTATTATCCGATTTAAAAAAACGTTTGAATATATCACCGTTATATCCTAATGATGGTTGAGTTCATATTTTGTAACAAACCTTGTTGATTGCCCGGACGACTAAGCTGCTATGGATGTATGTTTCATTGCCTGGCAACCTATCTTTTAATTTCATATCTAACCATTTATAGTTACAGACTTCGGTAATCAGTATATAGATAATCATAGTAGTATTTACTAAGTATTTGGGTTTTTTTTAGCATCAAATGCCAAAGCATGTCATGCCACTGGACGAGGTATCCAACCAAGAGGTATACGAGTTAAAGATAATGCTGTCTTCAAAGTTCACACAAAAGGGGCTGGTGATGGAGAGGTCAAAGTTCAAATTATTGGACCAGGTAAGATAATACGTTGACACCTATGCCTTTTGACGAGAGATTATAGGCTATTGATGGAAATTTGGAGAATATTTTTTGGTGGTAATTGTAACTATTATTAAAAGTGTGATATAATAAATTATCAAGAAATATTTTTGATGAAGTTAATATTAAAGCAAAAGGGAATGGAAACTTATTGAATCTATTTTCTGAAAGTGACAATAACTTAAAGTGAGCAAATTCTGGCCTTTATTAACCTGGACTAAAATGTCTAACAGCCAAAATTTTGTAACAGAAACCCTGGCATTCACTAAATTTCGACTCACTAATATTATTTCTTGGTTTGTAGTGAATGTTGTAATATATTTTTGACTGTTAATTATAATTACAGGTGGTGCTGAAGAAAAATGCACCATCAAGAAATTACCCAATGAGGAAGGTGTCTATGAATGTGTTTATATTCCATCCAAGGCTGGTCCATACATCATCAATATTACTTTTGGTGATCAACATATCTCTAAGAGTCCATTTAAAGTAGAGGTGGGACCATTTAAAACATCAAAGATTGTTGCCTGGGGACCTGGTCTAGAAGGTGGTGTAGTTGATCAACCCGCTGTCTTCACAGTTGAAACTAATGGTGAAACTGGTGCACTAGGTAAGATAAATTCTGTAAAGTAGAAACCCGGGATTTTAATTAACTGTATTTTGTCGGCTTTAGCCGCTTGAAGTTCAATGAAGCTGATTGGTAAAACAATGAACCGGCCACTATGGTATCATAAATCCATCTTCTTGCTTGTAGTCTACAACAACAGTCATACCTTAGTCAGTGAGAATCGGTCATGTGGTTCATAATCCGCGTAGCGTAATTAGTACATCTAACGGTAATTTTGATTATCCGGTAAAAAAAAACAAAACAAGTTTGCTGATTATTCATAACAGGTTCAGTAAGCTGCTTTTGTAAAAATAACCCTTGTGGCGAAAGAAGATGATATTGGTATAGTTTGCCAATCGCTTGTCTTCTGCGCTCAGTATAAATTCCAAGTGCCAATAGATATTAAAATAATAACTGGATCATACATTGATGGATTCACTGACCTGTTGTTAGGTAAACTTAAATCTTCATTGAATATAATCCCCTGATAGAACACCGAATACACCGAGAAACAGTTACTAATAGTATATTTTCCTGATAGAATCTCCAATGCCGAAATCCAATGACATGTGATAGATCGATTGGAATTCCGTCAATAAACAAGTTTTAAATAAGCCTTTACGGTGGTTTTATGTTTTTTTTTTTATTTTATACACATGCTGATGGAGGCTTAATTTTAAAAATATTGTCATTTATATTGAAAGCTATATCATAATTGTACGGAATTTAACTTTTAAGGCAATTTCAGTTATGGTTGTCATGTGACTATTGTACCGTTTGTATATCGTTGACAAATGAATAAAAACTTTTGCAAGTTATGTGACTAGTTACGTGATAGAAAAAACCCTACAATTTGCATTGTGAAGAAATGACATTGTGCCATATCACTATCAGTTTATTTTAGCTAGGCATTTTCTGATACTGGCAATAGTAGAAAAATGCTAATATTTTAGATCATCGAGTATCGACTGATGAAACACGAACGAACCGAATAAATGAAGACAGTAATTTATTCAGGAATATTACTGACGTGAACTTCAAGTTGGTACGTGAATTAAATATGGAAATTTTTCAAAAGTTGTACATATTTATCGTTATTTTTGTGGTATTCACATACATTAGAATACGATATTCTCCAAAATAAATTATTACCAAGATTGGGCAAGAATTATTTTTGTTGAAGTTTGGTTATATTAAAGGGAATGGAAGCTTTTAGTTAACCCATTTCCTCCTACTGGGACCTCATATGACCTTATTCTGGCCGGTTCATTTCAAAATGGATTAAGAACCCTGGTAGAAATAATTTATCATGATCAGCTACTCATGACTTAAATCCTGACTACCGGTAAAAGAGAAACAATAATTCTAGTTTACTATACAAACAACCGACCATCAAACGATGGTGTCCATTGCCCCGCCCACTACACGCTCCATGACAATACCTAGAATGTAGCCATTTAGATCTATCAGTAACGTAATAAAATAGCATTTTTAATACCAATCAAAGAAGCAATGTTTTTGTGAACTACAAACATCTTCTTAAAGCATATGGTGACAACTGAGGTATAATGATTTAAATTGTTGCAATACAGATATTATATTGGGTTTGATTTTAATGGTGATATGCGGAATGTATTTTCACTAAATTATGAATTGCCAGTCCTGATCAGTGGCCGCGCCAGCCGTCGGTGATTGGAGGGGCAAAGTCCAAGGTTAAGGGGGCAAAGGCACGAGCTTCAACTAGGGGTAGGGGGCCTCCCCCAGAAAATTTTGAAAAACAGATTGCCGGAAATGCAGCCTGGCAGTATTTCAGGCACTGATCAATGAGGTAAAGTGTCAATATATATAGGGGTTAACCGAAGTGTTTTAACATATGCGTTTTAGATCACCAGGTCTGTCATTTAGTCAATTGGCGTGATTTCAATCACACACTTGTATGTGACTTTGAGTAGGGTTTCCACTCTTAAAGGACAATATTGGTGTCAGTCATTTTCATATGTGATAGAACTGGTTAAGTTATTAGTGAGTAGAAATTCGCCTATCTATCTGTTATCACTCGTCACTTCAGTCAGTTATATAGAATGATAACTTGTGTTTTCCTTTTGCTTTCGTCACTTTCATTTCTTGAAATCTTCATTATGCATCTATCGTAGCAATGATGTCTGTGTTAAAATTATATTTGGAACGTGTTTAACCAGTTCTATCACATATGTGATAATGACTGACACCAATATTGTCCTTTAAAGACCCCTATATGCAAGCAAATTATTGATAAAATTTACCGAATCTTAGTCCCAAAATGACATAGTTTGTGTTGAGTGGATGTTAAACCCCATTTCTGTCCCTCTGCAGATTTTTGAGGTAAATGCTACGTGTTATTTGTCCCCCGCCTTTCGAAGAAAGCAGGGGACTATTAAAATGGGTTCGTCCGTCTGTCTGTCCGTCTGTCTGTCCGTCTGTCCGTCCGTCTGTCTGTCCGTCCGTCTGTCTGTCCGTCACACTTTTTGGGACACAATAACTCTCTTCCTAATTGAGCTAGAATGTTCAAACTTGGTGTATGTGTTTATTAGGTCAATGCCTTGATGGAGTTCGAAGATGAGCATTTTCCGCTTAGGGTAAGCAGAGATAAGCAATTTGATTGGTTGATACTTTGGGGCACGATAACTCTCTTCCTAATTGAGCTAGAATGTTCAAACTTGGTGTATGTGTTGATTAGGTCAATGCCTTGATGGAGTTCGAAGATGAGCATTTTCCGCTTAGGGTAAGCAGAGATAAGCAATTTGATTGGTTGATGCTTTGGGACACGATAACTTTAGTTCTAATTAAGTGAGATTGATGAAACTTGGTGTATAGATTTATTATATGAATACCTTAACTAAGTTCGATAATGAACATTTTTTGCTGAGGGTAAGCAGAGTGATAAGCAATTTGATTGGTAGAAACTTTGGAACACAATAACTCTCCTTCTAATTGAGGTAGAATGTTCAAACTTGGCATAGGTGTCTATTAGGTGAATGTTTAAACTTGATGTATATGTAGATGTTCATTAGGTGAATGTCTTGACTGAGTTCAATAATTAACATTTCGAGCTGAAGCTAAGCAGAGCTAATCGATTTCATTTGTCGATGGTTTGGGACAAGATAATCTTGATTCTATCTGATAGAGAGTGATGAAACTTAGTGAAAAAAATAAATGTGCGATTAATTAATATGTGTCATCTATTTATTTTGCAATTTCGGCGGGGGACATCAGCCTCACTGTTGGCTTGTTTTTGATATTTTGTATTTAAACAGGTTTCTCTATTGAGGGACCATCTCAAGCTAAGATTGATTGTAAAGATAATGGTGATGGTTCAGCTGATGTAACATACTGGCCAAAAACAGCAGGAGAATATGCTGTCCATATTTTATGTAATGATGAAGATATTCCTAAATCACCTTATATAGCACAGATCACACCAGCTACAAAGGAATTCCTTGCTTCTAAGGTAAAATATCTGTTGTGTAGAAGATCTATTTTTTTGTACTTAATGCAAGCAACTGGAAATGTATACATATAATATGATATATTTTACTAATATATTAAAATTGAAATATTGAACATTTTCAGGTTATTGCCAAGGGCCCAGGTTTAGAGAAGACCGGTGTACAAGCTAATAAATGGGCTGAGTTTACAGTTGATGCTCGTAATGCTGGTAAAGCACCACTTAAAATTAGTTGTATGGATGTAGATTATAAACCTATAGATGTACAGATAATAGATAATAAGAATGGTACATATGGCTGTAAATACATGCCTAAACGTAATGTTAAACATACTGTCACTATTACATGGGGTGGTGTACAAGTACCTAACAGTCCTTTCAGAGTAAGTTTACATAATTACTTTACTTATTCTCTCAAATCTGGTTCATCTTATCTTTTTTAGAAAAATCTACTGGTACCTTGTTAGTCTTAAAATAGTACCCTAGAGAAGTAGCAAACATAGTTTCATCCATTAAGACAAAAATGAGATTTGAATCACATCATTAAATCATGCAATGGTGCCTAATGATACATTGTGGAAAAAAATATCTTCAGTTTGTAACCTATTTTTGTAGGTTTTTGTATCTGAACCATGTAATCCAGCTAATGTTAAAGTTTTTGGACCTGGTGTGGAGAAGGGTGTTAAAACTAGTGTCAAGACTTATTTTACTGTTGATTGCAAAGCTGCTGGCCCTGGTGAGTATACTTTATAATCCTGTTAAATAGACCTGATACAAGTCACTGTCTGAACAGCTATCATCATCATAATATAAATGGCAACAAATGGATATGAAAATGCCACTCAAGGATTATAGAAATGAATTTTAAACACTGATGCTATTATATTTCATATTTTTATAGTTCAAATTTCATTCTGTCTACATTCTGTTTGATGTTAGGGCTCAGCCAATGAAATAGTCTTTTTACACTACAAATATGGTATCGTTTAATACGGGGGTTTTAGCGTTGGTTACTATTCATACCGTTTAATTTCAAAACCCCGTTCGATAATTGATAAAAATCGTTGAAGAATAACAAAAATGGTTTAATTAGTACTATGGTTTAGATTAATGGCAACGGCTTTAGTTTCTCCGAGATGCGTTTAAAAATGGACTAACCGTGCACTTATCTATGGCGTTCATTTATTGGATGAGCCGTTGAATTTCTCGAGATGCGTTTAAAAATGGACTTCCCCTTCAATTATCTAGGGCTTTCATTTATTAGATGAGCCCTTTAATTTCCCGAGATACGTAACATCGTGTTTTGCCATGCTTCCTGCAAGGAATTTGCGAGAAGCTAGGGTCGAAATAATATTGTCTATAATTAATTGAAGGAGTTGTAATACAGTAATGCTGCCGCTAAAACGTGTACATGTATAATGTACAGGCCAGTTTGAATAACAACAAAATGAGTTGGGTAATCTCGGGAAAACATTTACCGGCATTCTGTATTGGTTAGGATTTTTTTCTAACGCACTGTACATTCATATAACGTCGGCCAAAATGTATACAACAATGAACAACGTACAATTTTTTAAAACGTATCATTACATCTTCGTCTATAACTTAGATGTAATCCATCAATTATTGGCTGCTATAAAATCCAAACTTTAAATAATATACGTCATACGATGAGCTTTTACACATTACTTGCAGCTTCAGTTAATCTAAATCAATCATTCATAGAGCACAGTGAAGTAAATCACTCCACGGGGTGCTTAACGGTAAGTCACATGGTCAGAAACGCGCCAAATAAAGTGTTGTTTTAATTGTTATTTTAATAAATTGATAATTGTGTTTGTTTTAATATGCATACATTTTCTTTGAAATAATAAAGTGTTATGTACTTACCCGTGGCATTGTTTCATCGAAGCACATCAAAGAAAATCAGTTAAAACAACGATTAATTTGTATGTATCTGTACTCACACGTGTAACTAGCTGCAATATTTGTAGCCGTGATAATTCTTAAACACGGCTACAATTGACACACTATTCGAGGCTTTTGGCAAGTAAAATAAGGTTCAATTGCAAAATGATCACAGTTTGCATGGAAATAAGTAATTATTTATGTTACAAATAGTAAATAGTTGAACACTGAAATCTTAAAGGACCTAAGTCTGTAACTCAAAATCCTCCAAAATCTTCGACATCGAAAACACGAATTATTGGTCAATTTAAATCAACATTGATGATGTAAACTTACCGGGAAAAGATGAGCTTCTGATATCCGATATTTAAGATAAAATAATTTTTTTAACATTGGTACACGAATCGTGTACCATATTGCGCTTCAGCCCCAGTTGTATTGAGGGACGAGGCTAGACACATTGCACCAAATCAAATGGACTTATGTAGACTAGAATAACTAGACAGTAGAAATTTGCACTCGATTGAGATTGCTGACTTATTTCGCCGAACATAACTGATTTGAAATTGGAGTAAAAACGGAAACCATTAAATGTAAATCAGTTTATATATATTCATATTACAGTATTATATGCGTTGCGACCCACTTTTGTGAATTTCTAGGTCCCAAATGTTAGCGATTTAGCTCCTTTAATCTTATCTTACCAAACAGTTATTCTGTATTTTCAAGCAAAACGCAAGACATTAGTACTGGACTACTCGAACCAGTGTTGTTTTAATTGTTGTTTTAATAAATTGATAATTGTGTTATTTTAATATGCATATATGTTTTCTTTGAAATAATAAAGTGTTATGTACTTACCCGTGGTATTGTTTCATCATAAAGCACATCAAAGAAAAACAATTAATTTGATGTAATAAAGATATATATTTGCTAATATGTACTTACCGGCAGTGGATATTCTTAAGTTATGTATATACTCACCTATAAATTGTTCGCCTCTTTGTATTGTGATTTAATCATTAATAACATATTGTCTGTATTATATTTTTAAAATGAATAAGTCAAGCCTTATAATGTAATTTAATTGGTCCGTTTGATCCTTTGGGTTGGTCCGAGATAAATATGGGTCCGATATTATGCAATATCGATGCGGGTTTTTTTTTTTTCTCTCTTTTTTTTCTAACAATATTTATTCAATATTTACATATTATAAAGATACAATATTCGATTATGGGATCTGAAAACAAGCCATACAGATATATAAATGCATTGTTTATAATTATAATCACGATTTACATACAATTATAATTACAAAAGCAAATGCAGGTTCAATCAAGAAACTTGCGGGTTCACCGTCTAGTATAACTTTTGAGCTTCTGATATCTAGATTTTAAAGCTTATAGATTGCAGTTACACAGGGTACATGTATATGCAGTAGGAAATCGGGAAATCATTCAGAAAGTGTACTCAAAATAAGAAAATTGTAACGGATTGAAGCCGAGAATTACATGTAACACACTCGTGGACATTGTATAAATATATGACATGCGCATGTGTGTGTGAAATGGCTTTATTCAATATCCGCTTCCACCGAAATGAATTGGGCGACATTTAAAGTAGATGTATATTGTCACAGCGGAGATTTGTTGCCGAGTAACAGACTAAGAATATAGCCCCAATCTTTGTCGCGTTTCTGACCACGTGACTTACCGTTACGCGCCCCGTGGAGTGATTTACTTCACTGTGCTCTATGAATGATTGATTTAGATTAACTGAAGCTGCAAGTAATGTGTAAAAGCTCATCGTTTGACGTATATAATTTAAAGTTTGGATTTTATAGCAGCCAATAATTGATGGATTACATCTATGTTATAGACGAAGATGTAATGATATGTTTTAAAAAATTGTAAGTTGTTCATTGTTTCATACCTTTTGGCCGACGTTATATGAATATACAGTGCGTTAGAAAAAAATCCTAACCGATACAGAATGCCGGTAAATGTTTTCCCCGAGATTACCTGATCCATTTTGTTGTTATTCAAACCGGCCTGTACATTATACATGTACATGTTTTCGCGGCATCATTACTGTATTACAACTCCTTCAATTAATTATAGACAATATTATTTCCACCCTAGCTTCTCGCGAATTCCTTGCGGGGGAAGCATGGCAAAACATGATGTAACGTATCTCGGGAAATTCAACGGCTCGTCTAATAAATGAACGCCCTAGATAATTGAACGGGAAGTCCATTTTTAAACGCATCTTGGGAAATTCAACGGCTCGTCTAATAATTGAACGCCATAGATAAGTGCACGGGTAGTCCATTTTTAAACGCATCTTGGAGAAACTAAAGCCGTTGCCATTAATCTAAACCATAGTACTAATTAAACCATTTTTGTTATTCTTCAACGATTTTTATCAATTATCGAACGGGGTTTTGCAATTAAACGGTATGAATAGTAACCAACGCTAAAAACCCCATATTAAACGATACCATATGTGGACGTATGGTAACGTTTCCTTGAAGGGAAAACTACATTTGGGGTATGGGGAGCTTGGTATCTCTGCCACCAGTTATCAATTCCTGGCTGATCATGAGCCACCGGTAAACGGAACTTTGGAAGGGTGTGTAAGGACCAGCTAAAAAGTGGTCAGTAATGGTGTTTTGCTAAAATTATATTAAGCTTCACCGTAGGAATAAGACAGACTCGTTCAGTTTCCAAACCTTTATGTAACAAAAACTTTAAAAATATATTTATATCAGTATTTACAGCTTAAATACGTTTATTTCTATTAACTGTCCTTTTTCGGGTGAACAGCGTTCACCGTACTCTAAAAGTGTCTTGACTTTTTCGGGCGAATAGCATTCGCCATACTAGTTCTTGAAACTGCCAATGTCTTTACTTGTTCTTGAATCTGCCAGTGTCTTTCCTTTTTCGGGCGAATAGCATTTGCCGTACTTTTCTTCAATCTGCAACTTGTCTTTTTCAGGCAATGCTAGATTGCCATACTCTCTGAAACAGAAAGAAGCTTTAAAGGAGCTTCTGTGCCATCGGAACGTAGCTTGTCGATATCAGCAAGTTCATCGCTGACCTTCGACCACAGTCCCAGAGGCTAGCCCACCGTGCAATGTTGTTTGTTAGTTGTATTTTATGTCCGCTTCCACCGAGGTGATATCGCAGACAATAACATGTTATGTGCACAAGGTGCAATAATTTACAATGTGATTAGTGCCTACCGTGCAAATTCAAGCTATCTTAATGTATCTATAAGAGACATTTATTCCTACTGGCGGTTCACAAATATTGCATGAATAAATTCAAATCATAAGAACATAAACACGACTAATAAACAGTATCATATTGATTATAACAGTACAATGTATATATTGGTTACACTATATATAGGACAAAACATCAATCATTCGATGATAATAATTATTTACTAATTATATAAATCATTTTAACAAGTAGGAGTTATCTCTTACCCTTATCTAAAAATAATTACCCTGGTTAGAAAGGTATGGACAATTAAGGTATTTAAACAAATGATTACGAAAGAACATAACACTATAGACTTCCATAAGACATACAGTATAATACATGTTTAATATATATAGAAATGACAATGTCCTACGCTAACAAATAATGTAATATGATAGTATTAGTAAATATAAAAAAACAAAGTAGTCGCGAACATCCTGGCTCTTGACTGCTTCAGTATATTGCCATCGCCCCCGTCCGTCCGTCCATCGTCCACAATTTCTTGTGAACGCTCTAACGCCAAAAGTTATCATCCAATTGTTTTAAAATTGATATATGT